GGGAGGGAGGGATGGATGGAGGGAGGAATGGAGGGAGAGAGGGGTGGAGGGAAGGAGGGAGGGATGCTCAGGAGGGCAAAGGGAAGAAAAGAGAGTAGAAGAGGGGAGGACGGCAAGACCAGTGAAAGATGGGGGATTATCCCCAGAACAGGACCCTCCTGGGCCCGGGCCTGCAGCCCACCCGACGCCACCACCACCTACCTTGGGGTAGCATTGGCACATGCTCCAGATGACGCCCCCGATCACCATGACGCAGCCCATGGCGTAGAAGGTGCCGTAGACCTGGGGCCGGTCGTGGCTCATGAGGAACGTGCCGAGGGCTAGCAGGAAGAGCCCCAGCACAATGAAGCCGATGCGGAAGGTCTTCTCGTCGGCCATGGCCGCCTGGCCGGGCCCGGGGCTGAGCGGGGCCGGCGAACCCGTGTGGATGCCTGCACACGCTCGCACAGAGAAGGATGAGGCTCGGGGATCGCTGCGGATTGGGGCTTCCAGTTGAAGGCAGGGCGGCTCCCTCCAGGGCCAGTGGCAGTCGGGGGCACCATTCACCAGGCTGGAGGAGCTACGCTTCGGTGGCCCTGTGCCACACCCCCCCACCCTCTCTCCCTCTCACCTTCCCTCTGGGCCCAGCCAGAGCGTGTGTGTGTGTGTGTGTGTGTGTGTGTGTGTGTGTGTGTGTGAATCTGAATGAGGGAAAACATGAGGGAGGGAGAGGGGGAGGTTTCAGGGGCTGGGCCCCAGCCAAGGCTTTGACATCACCTCATTTGCCTGCGTGGGGCCGAGCTGCGTTGGCCAGGTGGCCCCGTGCCGTCCGGCCAGGGACGCAGGGTACAGTGTCACAGCCAAAAGACATTAGAATGCCGCTGGAAGGTTCCAGGATCCCATGGGCCAGCATTTGAGGATCCTGAAGCACTCTGGACTCTTCGAGGTCGTGGGCGCATCTGGGGTTGAGGAGTGAGAGCTCCTGTTTAGTGGACGGTGGCTGCAGGCAGGACACAGTTGTCCACGTGGTACAGGTATTAATGAAGGGAACCCCGTGAGGCAACTACTACTATCTCCACTTTACAGAGGAGGATGGGGCGGGGGTAAAGTGCCCAAGGTCACACAGGTGGACATGGCAGAGCCCCTGGAAGTGGAACCCGGAGGCCGTGCGCCAGCCACCATGTGATACTGTCTCACTGTGGGCCAAGGTTCAAAGTGCGGGCCTCGGTGGCCAGGCCGTGGGTTCTGGCTCCTCTGCCGAGGGCAGCATGCTCTTGATGAAATTCCCTCTCTGTGCCTCAGTTTTCCTCCCCTGTACAATGGGGATAATAACCGCACCTCCCAGGACCAGAGCTGTCTCCAGGCCTGGCCTCCCTGTGTTCCTCTTTCCGTTCTCATACTCTGTGCTCCCCCAGACCTGCTCCCAATGAGCTGCCCCCTAGAAAGTCTGTGTGTGTTGATGCCCCTGTGGGGTGTGAATGACTGACAGGGAGTCCTCAGCCTCCTAACCTCAGAAGATGTCTTCACCCTAAGAATGGCATTCTAAGGTTGGAGTTTCAGTCCTGAGGACGGGCTGATGGGAAAAATCAGATTCCTTTACAGGATTATAGGAAAATGAAGGCCATGGGGATCTCTAAAGGAAGATGGTAACTTTATAGTTTTTACAGGGTTAAGTTGTCACCGTGTGATCTGGCGTCCAGACTTAGTAGGTTTGGGGGGGTTTCTGTTTGTCGTCACTACTTTCTCCCTCCTCCCCAACATGAGCTGTGCTTGTCCACACCTATGTTCACGCCCTCTGCCTGGTGTTCCTGCCCACAGACACTTTCTCCAGCAGCGGTTTCTCCTTCACCAGCCGTCAGATCCAGCCGGGCTGCACTCTACAGTTTGCGGGGGAGGGGGCTGGGGTCCCCTATAACAGCTCAGGAGACCCTCACAGTGAGAAGTTGCTAAGAGGTCAGGAAGGGCTGAGAGTCACCCGGTCACATCCAGGTTTGATTCCCCAGGTGAACTTGGGCTGGTGGCTCCACTCTGGGCTTGAGACTTGTCACCTGTGCCTTGAAAGTGGTATTAGGCCACCTCCTAGGTACTGTGCTGGGAAGTGACCTAATGGAGGAACAGGTGCCTTGTAATCTGATTATCAACATGGCTGGACCCTCCAGGGCAACACGATTATCATCATCTTATGGAGGCTCGGGGAAGGGAAGCGAGAGGCGCCCCGCCCAGAAAAGGAGACCGAGGCCCAGAGGGGCCTCAGCCCGCGCTGTGGGGTCCTGGCGCGGCGGTGGGGAGTGAGTGGATGTGCGTGGTCCCCGTCCAGCGGGAGCCTCTCGCGCCCCCTGGTGGCCGTCGTACCACGCGCTCTGCAGGGCACTCGCAGGCCCGTTCAATCAGGCGTCTCTGCCCGTGTCCGCGCTTATCGTGCCCATTTCACAGGCGAAGAAACGGAGCCTGAGGAGTGGCAGGGACTGGCCGGTATCTCCCCAAACCGAGTCGGTGGCTAAACGAGGACCAAGACCCATGCAGCCCCAGCCCCGATGTAGATAGATTTGGTCCTTAGCCCTTCCAGAGGCCTCCCAGTCACCAGAGCATTTTCCTCCGCGCCCCACCTTTTATTTCCTCTGCACGAGCAAGCCTCGGTTCCTCCTTTTCTCTCCTCTTAAAAAAAGGGGAGTGACAGCGCATAAGAAGCTCTGGGACAAGTAGGTGCTCCGTAGAATGGATCTAATGTAACCTCCTCCACAGAGTCGCGGTGACGGTTACAGGGGAACGTGTGTGTCCAGCTCTCCGTGCTCCCAGCGGCTCCCCTCCCGCCTGCCTGCGGCCTTTCCCTCCCAGCCAAGCGGGCGTCAGTGGGAGGAGCGGGTCAGGGGTCTCATCTTCCAGCAGAGGGCGCGCTAACCGCTCTTTTCTTCCTATCGGGTAGATTCAGGATCCTCGCAAAATCCTCAGAGGCAGGGAGGGGAAAGATCACACCCATTTGACAGATGCAGAAACTGAGGCTCGTGGAGGCAAGGTGAGCTACCCAAGGTCGCAAAACCTGTAAATGGCAGATCCCGGAATTCAAACCAGGTCCCCAATCAGTCTCTTGCTGAGCACCTACTACATGCCGGATACCCTGAAGTGCGAGGCACTCTGATAAATACAGGGTTTCAGAGAGTGATGGCACTTTGTCCCTCTTTCTGGGGAACAGTAAGGCTCTGAGACGTGGGTGAGGTCCAGCACATGCACAGAGCAGAGAGAGGGATAGACTGGGGGGGGGGATGGGAAGAATGAAGGGACAGATTCATAGAAGGGATCCTTGAGAGGTCATTTGGAGTTCTGTCAGGGCAGAAAAAATACTCAGACAGTGATCAGCAAGTGCAAAGTCCCAAGGGTAAGTAATGGCTGGAGCTAAAACTCTAAATGCCATGCACACCCTCGCCCCTACACTGCCCTGCCCTGCATACTCCTCCCCTACCTCCTCAAACCTGCCCCTCCCATGTCACCTCCATCCTTCCAGCATTATTCAGGCCATCACCTGGATATCCTGGCCAGCATCCTTACCTCCTCTTCACACCCATATCCTGTTGGCTCTACCTCTGAGCCTCTAATCCAATACTTCTCACCCTCAACTTCTGCCCATCCCTCTGGTCCCAGCCCCCATCATCTGTCTCCCTGAATGCTCTCTGCTTCTACCCTTGCCCCCTGAAGTCTCTTTTCAACCCAGATGCCAGGTCAGACCATGTCACTGCTCTGCTCAGAACCCTGGAAGGGCACCCAGAGACCTCAAAACAGCCTGCCAGGCCCTAGATAATTTGCCCTTGCCGCACACCCCATCACCTTCCCCCCCAGCCCATCTCCTGCCCTGCCTCCTCTCACTCCACTCCAGCCCCCTGGCTCCGAGCTCTTCTCGGAACACAAGGCACCCCAAGGCCTTTGCACCTGCTGTTCCTTCTGCTTGGAAAACTCTTCCTCCAGACATTTGCCTGCCCCCCTCCCTCTCCTCCTTCAAGCTTCTGTCCAAAGGTCATCTTCAGGTTGAGGCCTCCCTGCTGTGACGTCTAAAACTGCAGTACCCCCTCCCCCCCACCGGGGTTCCCTGTCCTCCTTTCCGATTGATTTTTCTCTGTAGTAGGCATCCCCATCTATCATGCTAGATACATTATTTATTTGTCTCTTGTCTGTCTCCCACTATTGCAGGCTGGGGACTTTGTTTTGTGCACTGTTCTAACCCCAGGGGCTAGAACGGGGAGGCTCTTAATTGATATTGGGGAATGGAAGGATGGATAGAAGTTCCAGAAGAGAGGGAGGCCAGAGAGAGAAGCACAGGCAAGCTTGATTGAAGCCACCGGCTCTGGCGTTATTCTCTGTGATTTTACCCCTCTGAGGCTCAGTTTCCTCGCCTGGTAAATGGGAACACCACCTGTAGCAGAGCATCATGACGGCGTGAAACAACGCAGAGGACTGCCCGGGCGTACAGTCGGCCCTCAGGGAATGCCACCCTTATCCAGCTGACTGAGCCCCAGGACTTTGAATCTCTGCTTGCTGTGTGACCCTGGGAAGGTTACTTCACCTCCCTAAGCTGACTTTCTCATCTGTGAATGGGGTGAGGTGGAAATGAGGGATGCAGAATGTAGCTGGGCAGAGAACAGACATTTCTGTCATATTGGAAAGTAAGGCTAGGTAATGAGCTCCCTGTCACAGGAGGTATGGGAGCAGAGGCCAAATTTGCCCTGGGTGGAGGGGGGTGACTAACAAAATCAGACATCGCTGAGGACTCACAGACACCTGCCATTGGGCGAAGATGTGCATTTATCATTTGAAGCATTAGGACTGCGCCCGCAGGGCCCATGTGAGCTCACACCACCAGCTGCTATCACCTCGGGCAGTCCTCACAACTCAGCTCCTCGGGTAGGGGCTGGGGCCTTTGTCACTCCCGATTCCCCTTTTACACCTGCGGAAGCCAAGGCAGAGAGGCAAAGTCCCTTGTTCAAGGTCACTCGACTGGTCCGGGGTGGACGCATGCCCAGGTGGTCTGAATTCGGAGCCCACATTCTTCCGATTCTAAACTCAGTGTGCGACCTCGGGCCCGTCCTGCCCCTGCCCCTGGGCCCCCACCTTCTCATCTGGACAACAGAGTCCCCAACTGACAGCCAGCACTAACGGCCAGCCGTCTGAGTGCACCGTCTTGGACATTCTGGCCCAGCCGGGCCCCTCAGGACTGCAGGCCCACCAGCGCGGGCTACGGAAGAGCCACCCGGCCGGGCCCAGGCAGCGCCTAGCGTCACGAGAGAGAATGAAATGCATTTATTTGAAGCCGTCTGTTACACAGCAATAGGTCAAGACGCGAGCATTCAGCAGCAAACATTTGTCGCGTGCCCCCGTGTGCCAGGCCCTGCACTATACGGCCCACGCGCACCACCTGTCTCCAGCTCTGGGGTCTGCCGGGAGCCTTGAGCTTCGCCCCCCTGCAGTCCGAGCCGGGCCTGTCTCTCCGGAGATGCCACGCACGGCACCAACGATGCTCTCGTAGCTGGGCGGTGGCAGGGGGCGCTGGGTCCCGAGCAGGGCATCCCCAGAGGCACTGTCCTTCAGGCCTTCCTCCAGGGGGTCCGCGGGCCGTGTCGGGGGCCTCTCGGCGAGAGGGCAGCACATGGCCTCCTCGTAAGTGGGGATGGCAG